CTACCCAAACTGGCATATAGATCAATATATGGATCACCGTTGGTACAGTTTGATTCAAACCAAATGACACCGTCCACATGTATTTTCACTTAGATTGATCCATCCAGCCCTTTAAGAGCTGTAGGATATGTTTCTGGCGCAGTGCTAGGGCATGTATTCTTTTTGGTAAATGTTTCTGGCGCAGTGCTAGGGAATGTATTCTTTTTGGTATGATTCAGCATGATCCTAATTATCTCATTCTATAGTCTGTGGGGACAGTTAGTTTGTACCTAAATAGAGTGATGGGTGGCAGTATCAGAAGTGACAACCCTGTGATGTACCAGATGGATGGTGACTAGAGATGGGGGCATTTGTATTCGTATACGAATATCCCCGCACAGGTGGCGTTAACTAGGGTTCCAGCCCATGGTGCTGGATTGTCCACTCACCGATCCAACATGGACGACGTGATTCTACGAATGGCTCTGCAGTGCATAATCCGCTTGCTACTCTTCAACATTGCAGCGAGGCTTGTCCTGGTGTAATCTGCTCGCCACTCTTCAACATTGCAGCGAGGCTTGTCCTCCCGCCTGCTGCCAGGAGTGGCGAGTGGATTGTGCGCTGCGGAGCCATTAGTAGAATCGTGCCATCCGTGTCGGATCAGTGAGCGGAGAGTCTGGCCCTATGGGTCTGGACCCTTGTTAATGCCACCTGTGTGGGGATATTTGTGTTGGGATATTTGTATTCGTATACGAATACCCCCTTCTCTAGTGGTGACATTAAAAGGGAGGATAAACATTTATTTCCTTCTTCTTCTTTATTTCCCTTACTGACTCGATAAACATCTAGTTCCTTCTTCTTCTTCTTTATTTCCCTTACTGACTCAGCACAATTCTAATACTATGTTACACAGATACAATGCTGTTTTTTGTTATCTCACTTACTTTATTTAACTTCCTAACTTAACTAAACTAAACTAAAGTCACTGCAGCTGGCTGAAAGGCAGCTGTAGAAAAAAGTGGGCTATGTCGACTCCATGGGCTCTATCCATACAAGGCAGTGCAGCCCCAGCAGTGTCTGGGCTGAGAAGAAAGGTGGGAAAAGGGGTGCTTACCTCCCTTCCATCTCCCTAACCTTCATGTCAACGTTTTCTCCTCATCCCAGTACTGCTGCTGTGACTTTGCCCCACTGCTGCCGCCTCCCAACTCATGAGTAAACAGGTAAACGTACATGTCAGTAAACTCATGATCAAAAGGCTTGTGTCAACCCTTTTCACAGGATAATAAACTCTCAAGTGTGGGAGATAAAATAAATTGCACAAAAGATAAGATCCTTTTAAGTGCAAACCAGAGGGTTCCAAACCAGAAGGTTCCTGTCTGGACAGACCCACAGAGATCTTCTGTGTTTGAAAAAGAGCCCTTTGAGAGGAGTACCCTGCCTGAAAATCAGGAGCTCTTTTTGTAGATATCTGTAATGCAGGGAACTATTTCTTACAAACATATTTTGCGTATTAGGAGAGTGCAGAGTTGGCATTACTTCCAGGATGGTGACGGCTAGCCTTTGCACTTCTGTCCACAGTTTTTTCTTATGCAAATATGGTTGTGTATACTTAGGGTATACTTCTACCTCCACGTTTTATAATAATAACAATAACATGCTGGTTCTGACTTGTATTGTACTTTTCCTAGATGTAAAAGACTCAAAGTGATTTGCTATTCACTTCTCCTGGGGGCAGTCTGCAACCATGCAGCTTCCCCAAGACCACAAAGGCTAGCTCTTCTCTTACAAGGCGCAATGGGGAATCAAACTCCAGATCCCTGGCTCTACAGCAAAGTGATCCAGCTTTAATAATAATTATGTCCAATTCTGACATGACAATTTTCTCTGCATTTTCTAGTTATAGAAGTGAATTCTTAGTTTAATGAAGTGCTGTTGGGAATACAGCTGTTGTATTTCACATTATTGATAAGCATGCTTTAGGACAGGCTTAGCTTTGATATGTGAACTTATATCAATCCTAAATTTTGCTAAAGATAAATACAAATAAACAAATATAAAAATAAATAAACAAACCAGGATAAAATCTCTACACAATTATAGTGTACTTTATGAGATTGAGGATTGGATGAGAGAGAATTAATTAAACTGAAGACAGTCTTAATAGTTCTGGCACAGTTGTCATGTACCTCTCTTTTATTAGGAAGGAGGGGAGAATGCTCTTGATAACAGGCTCACACAATGAGTCTACAGCTGGAGACTCTTACAGAAGATGAAGCCCATCTGGTTTCAGGGCTTTTTTCTTCCATATCTGAGCTGATGATATAATCCAGGTATCTGTATATAAAAGAACACAGAAATTGGGTTGATATGCAGAAGACCAAAGAGTATTGTCTCCTTGAAGAACTGATTTGAGAGTTTTTCAAAATGTAGCTTAATCTATGCTGTGTATCTGCAAATAATTCTGAATTTTATAAAATGCCAACAATTCTCTTTTCTAATCAAATCTCTAAGCATTATACCCCAGGAACTTCCAAGGGCTCTGAAAAACTGTATATGTGGAACAATGTGCTCTTAACTATGGGTTGGGATTTCACATTACAGTGGACCCTCGACTTACGGCTCAACTTACAGACTTTTCGAGTTACAGACTTCTCTGGCTGCAAAATTTAGATTCGACTTGCAGCCAGAGAATCGACTTACAGACCAGAAAAAAACCAAAATGGAATAAAAATAGAATAAAAACCACTGATTATGGGATTAATCGGTTTTCAGTGCATTGTAGGTCAATGGAGATTCGACTTACAGACTTTTCGACTTGCAGCCACCATTCCAATACGGATTAATTCCTTAAGTAGAGGGTCCACTGTACTTGACCACTAACAAGTTGCAGAGAGCAGCCTGTCAAGTTATTCAGAACTGTTCTTCATAACCAGTGAAAATGATAAGATTTCAGGGTCAGGAAACAAAGCAAGAATTCAAAATAAAAATAAGATTGGGTCCAGACATTATGGTTTTTGTTCTTGAAAGCAGACCTCTGATAAGGCTTAGATTGAAGTGCAGATCCAATGGAAAACAAAGGTGACCGGCTTCAAGTTTTTCCCATTACCATAGACAAAAGCCTGGCTATGCCCTCATGGAATTCAACCACTATGTATGAGTATCACTTTGGACTTTAATTGACTTCCTATTCATGTTATTTTCAATAGAACAAAGCAACAGCAAAAAGATAATCAACACACCATCAACACTGTTGTTGTTAATTGACTTTTTAACCTATAGGGAAAACTAAAATTTTCCTTCTGCTAAGTTGAGATAAAACTTGCTGTATTGCTCCTCATTTTTCTGCTCCAAGACAAACAGAAGACACCTTTGTGCCTTACTAAGGCAATGGGTAGATCCACAGCTGTGACTAAAACAATTTTCACTGCAGTCCTATGCTTCTTTGCTTCAACAAGTCATATTCCAGGTACTGTAACTGTATTCCTCAAATTGTATTCCTCAAATCCAAATTCTATTCCTGGATTGTGTAGGGTTGTATTCCTCAAAGATCTGGGAGATGGTTTGGCTGTACTAAGAGTTGCAGCTAATACAAAAGAGGCACAGGGAATGCAAATTTATGCATTGCAACACCAGGGAGACAAGTGATGAGTTAAAAAGTAGGCAGCTGACAACAAAAGAAGTCCACAAAATTACCAGTTTCTAACAAAGGGTAATAGAACTCAAGGTTGCTTAAATGCTGTACCCTGCAAGCTAATCTTACATATGGGCAGGCAGATTTATCAAGGAGGAAATGCATCCTTATGCCATTTCTTTCAGTTTGCACAAGCCAGGACCTTAAGAATGAACCTTGGTCGGAATTTGCAGGTTCCAGTATTGAAGCTTGGCTAAATAATTCAGGGACAGCAATTTCTATAAAGGGATGCTGCCTTTGCCTTGCCATAACCATCCGGCAATTAATCTTGCACTCTATCTGATTCAAACAGACCACATCCTTTTTCCTCTTGTTGTCTCCTTCCCCTGCAGTTCAGAAACTGGGTCAGCCTTGCTTCACTGAAGCCACTCATACAAGTTTCTAAAATTCATGCACTCACGGCCTCTGTTTTATATACACTAACACAGATGTACGCCTAATAAAATTTAAATTTGAGTAAATGGCATTAGGAACAGGCTACTAGGTACTCACATTGTGGAGTTAGCAGAGCATACTGATTAGAATGCTGAAACTGGAGTTTGCGAAATTCAGGTTCAAAATCAAAATGACAACCATAAATTCATGCATCAAGTTTCTAAAACAATGTAGTTAAAATATAAAGATTTTGGTGCCAATTTTGGTCTCATATGCAGCCTAGTGTTTTTGATTAGGACTGGAATTTCTCTTAATTTTATATTTAAAAACAACCTTATATTTTAACATTATTTTCAAAAATATTGCTTTAAAATATAAGCACTATCTCATATTTTAACATTAATCTTTTGCAACAAATGATGGCTATTCTTCTGTTTTTCCTTGGGAGTAGAATAAGCACGTGCATTACTTCAGCTATATATTGACCTGATGCAGACTAAAGTCCCCAACTGAGTCTAAAACTAAAATTACTCTGCAAGGCTGCTGTGAGAATATTGTCCTGAGACAGTTTTGTAGCCATGAGCATACCTGTACTATGTATAGCATTCCAATCAAAGTTCAGACTTGACCAGCTATTTATTTATTTTATTTATTGCCTTTCTCCTACAGCATCCATGGCGGCTGACAGTATTAAAAGAAACAAAGTCAAAAACTAAATAATAAATTATTACAATATTTTAAAAAGCATTAAATAGATATAATATCAAAGCGCATAAGAACAATATTGAAAGCACAAGTAAAACAGAGAATAAAATGATCCGTTAGAAAAAATCCCCGAGTTCTATCAGTTATTTAAAAGAAAGCCTGCTTGAAGTAGGACAAAGTGCCACATTAGCCCCATAATAATCACAAGTGCACCTGTCCCCAGCCCGCCTCTGCTCAGGCTTCCTTTCTCTTCAAGTGAAGCCAGGACTTGCAGCTGTAAAAGGCGGGCTTTTCAGCCACACACAGGCACTCCACCCCTACAGTCCCTCCCCCGTTTCTCTTTCACGTTCAGTTTTATCTTCCCTTGGCTTCCTTTCTTCTTCAGAGACGAATATTTAACGCAGAAGCAAACTACTACTGCTGCTGTGAGGTTGGTTTGTTTTGAAAACTCAGGTGGTCTCTCCCTCATGCAAGCCACAGAAGGGACTCTCCCAGAAGAGGTGGGGAAGGTTTTTGAAGGTAACGTTCTTTTGACTAACTAGAGCCCGTTCCCTACTGTTTAGGTAGATACTCCACTTTCACCCTCAGTCTTATTACCTTTAAAACCCCATATTATTAGGACATGGTTACACTAGAAAGGGGCCTGATTTTCACTGTATTTCATGCATTTTCTTGGGAATTGTGGAAGGGTAAAGTTGGGCTTCTCATGAGAAGAGAAGACTCCCAGTTTTCTTGGGAAGGGTAAAGTTGCGCTTCTCATGAGAAGAGAAGACTCCCTGGAAAAGACCCTGATGTTGGGAAAGTGTTAAACAATAGGAGAAAGGGACAACAGAGGACAAGATGGTTGGACAGTGTCATCGAAGCTGCCAACATGAATTTGTCCCAACTCCCGGAGGCAGTGGAGGACCGGGGGGGCGGGGCTGGCGTGCTCTGGTCCAAGGGGTCACGAAGAATCGGACACGACTAAACAACAACAAAGTTGGGCTTCAGGGCAGAAGGCCCAACACCTTGTTAGCAGCATATGCCTCAGTGTTGCTGTTTGGTAAATAAAGGAATAACATAGCATGGTGGATATCACAAGCTACAGGCCTAGACCTTGCCTTAAAAACAGGTTGAATATAGCATTGCTGGCAATTGCCTTGTTTCCTCCCCCCACACCCACCCCGAATTCAACAAACCATCACAGTCTGTGGATATTTCTGTGGAAGCACCACAGTATAATTAATGGAACAAAATATAAAATTAGGCAGTAGCCATATATAAAACACATAGTGGTTTAGAAAAAGATGAAGTTGTAAAGCTTAGATAAATATACCAGCTAACGTTTAGTCAATTATGGGCACTTTTATAGCAGAAGTGTTAGGGCAGCTGCCTCCAAAGTCTTCCGTAGTATGCCTGCTCCGTATGCTACTCAAGAGGTATCTATTGATGGAAAATCTTAAGGCCCCTGCTTTTCTTTTTCAGAGTTCATTACCTTTAAGTTATTGGAGTTAAAATCACTTCAGAGTACTTTGTAAAGAGACAACTCTAACTATTTTCAGTGTTAAATTTCCTTAAATGTTTTTCTTCCACTAATATAATTTTCTTCAAATCTTAACGTTATAATTCGTAATCTCACTATGTACCTTTTAAGGCTGTTAAAGAAAAACAACTACTAAAGTTAAGGCTCTACGATGATTTTTTTTTCAAAGTTAGTAGTTTGGTTCTCTTTTGATGGAATAATTGACAAAGGCCCCTTCATGGATGCACACCTTAATGTGGTTGAAGGGATTTGAGGATGTCAGTGAATCTGAGAGGAGTGCCATTAGGAAGCCAGACTCCATTATAAGCCTGGATTTGTAGCAGGGCCAGCCAAGGCAGAATGTGCTTGATGTTACTAACTAAAGTGGATTGGAATGGGATATTTTCAGTCGGACAACTACAAAGCATTATACTCTGGAAATGAGAAACTCAGAAGAAATTGAGTGACTGTAATACTGAAGCAAGATGTATGTAGCACAGGCAGTTAGGGGCTATAATGTAAGATCTGACTGAGTATCAATCAGACTGTGGAAAATCTATCAACATAATCATCATTGAAATTTGTGCTCCTCCAGCTACCAATGCTAAAGAAAATGAAATTGAACATTTTATGCAAGCATCCAAGAGACAATTGATCACACACCAAAAAAAGACACACTTATAATCATAGGTGACTGGAATGCAAAAGCAGAGAACAAAGCAGAACCAAATTTGGCTTAGGGTAAGAAATGAAGCAGGAAAACAAAACATAGAGTTCTGTGAAGCCAGCAATCTATGTAACGCAAATATATTATTCAGACAACTGAACAGATGTATACCTGTACATCACCAGATGGTCAGTATACAAACTAAGTAGTCAAATGGTTTGCAATCTTGAGCAATCCAGGTGTTCTTGGACTACAATTCCTGGAGGCCTTCACCACCACTATGCTGGCTGGGGTTTCTGGGAGTTGCAGTCCAGAAACATTTAGAAGTTACCCAAGGTCTGGAACCCCTGAAATAGACCATGTAATTGGAAGTAGGAGATGGAGAAGCTAAGCTGTCTTCTCTCAGCCAAAACAAGACTAGAAACGAATTGTGGTACTGATCCTGAACTGTTAACATCAAACATTAAACCAAAGTTGAAAAAGAACACTAAAAGAATTGTAGTGTCAGAATATAATTTAAACAACATTCCTGATGAATTTAAAGTCCACATAAGGAACAGATTTGCATTACTAAATTCAATTGACCATGAAGCAGAAAAACTGTGGGTTGAACTCAGAGATATTATTAAGGAAGAATGAAAATAGACAATTCCTGTAATAAACAGAAAAGAAAAACCAAGATGGATGATGGAAGAAAACTTAAAATTTTAAAAAAGTCAAGAAGAAAAAGTAAAAGATTAGAACAATGAGTGCCGTTTTTCAGCCATAGTCATATAGAGACAAAGAGAAGTACTACAACAACCAGTTCAAAGATTGCACCTTTCAAGTACTGTACTTGAAAGGCTGTCATATAGACGAAGGGCAGGGTCTGTTCTCGATCATCCCAGAGTGTAGGACATTCAGTAATGGGCCAAGTTACAGGAAGTCAGATTTTGATTGAATATCAGAAAAAACTTCCTAACTGTTAGAGTAGTATGGCAGTGGAGCCAGTTACCTCGAGAGGTGGTGACTGCTTCAACACTGGAGGCACTCAAGAGAATTTTAGACAACCACCTGACAGATAATCTTTGAATTGTATTCCTGCACTGAACAGGGAGTTGGACTTGACGGCCTTATAGGCCCCTTCCAACTTCATTATTCTATGAGTCTAAGCAATAAAGGAGAATAACAAAAACAGAAAAATGAGATCTCTTCTGGAAGAAATCAAAGGGAAATTTAAGCCTAGTTGAGGAATGCTAAATGACAACAGGGAACCACACTACCATCATTATAATTACTGTTTAGGACTGTGTGTCCTTTTGTTAACCACCCAGAGTAGTAGCACAGCTACAAGTTGGGGGGGTATGAATGTTAAACAAACAAACAAAGAGAAGGTTGAAACAGTATGCTGAGGATCTATACGGAAGAGATAAAAGGTTGATAGATTCAGTGTATTCTCGAAGGCTTTCACGGCCAAGATCCGATGGTTGTTGCGGATTTTCCGGGCTGTTTGGCTATGTTCTTAAGGTTTTTCTTCCAAAGGTTTCGCCAGTCTCTGGGGCAGGCATCTTCAGAGAACAGGAGTCAGAACTCTGTCCTCTGGTGCAGTTTGTTGAATAGTTGAGTACTTATAGCTGTGGGATCAGCTTTTGTCCTTTTCAGGAGATTGGGTGATTATGGTGATCAGCGTGTTTTTGTTGCAGGTGTATTGTTGTGATAAGGCAGAGAGATGATCTGTCACTGTGATTGATGGGTGTTGTTAGGTGGTCTTTTGTGTGCAGTGATCATTGGTCCTTGTGGCTGGGTAGAGTTAGTTGACCTTTTGCAGGTTGCATTTTTCAGTGCTGGGAGCCAGGCTTTTAAACTTCCTTCTTTTTTTGTTGAAACTCTGCTGGTGTTTGTGGATTTCAATGGCTTCCCTGTTAAGTCTAACATAATGATTGCTGGTGTTGTCCAGTACTTCAATATTTTGAAATAGAATTTCATGTTCAGCTTGTTTTAGGGCATGTTCAGCTATTGCTAATTTTTCCGGCATAACTCCGTTCCCCTCCCTGTAACTTGCTTCATGTCTCTAAACTTCCAATGTCTGATCACATTCTAGCAGAGGTCCCCACATTCTAGCAGAGGTCCGTGGCCTGGTGCCGGTCCATGGCCTGAGCCGCGGAGACAGACGCCCCCTGCATGCACTTCCCCTACAGCTCCTTTGTGCATATGTGCGCCAGCACCCTGTGCATCCGCTCCTCCACCCTTTTGCGCACAAACATGTGCATGCGCCCGAGCACCCTCCCACTCCTTCGTGCATGTGCGAGGGGATTCCCCGCCTTCCCCAGCCGGTTCACGGGTTAAAAAGGTTGGGGACCCCTGCATTCTAGCAATGCATAAAGAAATGAACCTCTGACATTATGTCAAAACAGAAGCTCACTCTATCTTTAGTTGCTCCTGTTGAATTGTGCAGGGCAAACTGAATGCAGCAAATGATTAGATGCAGTATTTAACTTTCCATGGTTGTGTTTTTTAATGATCAGAGAGAGAAGTGCCTCCTGGGCTTTCTTCCTGAAGTTCAGAATTGTTTTGACTTGGCTATTGTGCACCTTGATGGTGTAGACATTTTTGAGGGGAGAGCACTGTTTTCAGCTTTCTCTTGGAAAATAAAAGTTCACAACTTCAGTGTATTGGACACAAATCAGAACTCTGAATTTTCTCTTAGAAGCGGTAGGGTGGCTTTAACTCTAGTTTTTATTTCTGTATATGTATCTTGCATTCATCTATTGGACAGAAAACAAAGCATTGTACCAGTGGTAATGAGTTGTGTGTATAGGAGTGTGTGTGTGGGTATTTACAATGGAATCAAAGCTTACCCACCCTGACAATAGGTTATTCATTGTCAGTCATCAGGGACTGCAAGTGGATGTACTGTAATGTCATTCTGCGTTATGTATGCACACCTCCTTTCACTGCAAGGCATTTTCC